TTGTCTTCGTATCACTAACATCAACAATCTACGTGAACTCAACTATAAATAATATTCTTGTGGTCAGATATATAAATCACAATGCCATTACCACTAAGAATTATTCTGTGCTGGAATTCAAGATTCAGTGCACTAACAAAGGGCTGAAGGAATAGCTATCTACTGCAGAGCGTCAGTCTCTAAGGGCTAGAACTGAATCACGTGGGAAGGGTAATGGAAGAGAATCCTGCAATAATGTTCACTTAACTATATTATATTGTATTAACTTGAAGACTTCTGTCTCCAGGACTGAAAAATCCCATAAATTAAACAATACATATTTTTAAAACAAGTTTTAAAATTTGTACATTCTGATCTATAAATTTGTACGTATTTGAATTTTACTTTGAAATCTCCTGCTACCCAAAATAACAGGTGAATAGTAAGCTAATAATGAAGTTTAACTCAGTATCTTTCTCATGTCTCTGCAGATACCAGCACCAGACAGATTAAAAATGTAAAATCAAAATTACTCTGATTGCTTTCTGAAATGATATTCGTGCTGTTTTAATACATGCAAATAACAGGGGTATTTTTATTCTATAATATCTCTTTAGAAGGTTATAGCCAAAATAATATTTAAAGGTATACTGAGTCTGAAAGAACAGTACCCTTAGTAAAAGCAAACAGTCATTTCTAAGGCAGTGGTGAGAACACTTGCAAAACATACAAAAATATACAGGTAAAGGAAACTACTCCAAGCCTACGTCAACACTACGTGTTGCTGATCTTGGACCATATTGTGCCATTGATTTTTAAGTAGAACTTGAAAATTATTTCATTGATGGCTCCTTAACAGCAGTTGGCTATTTTATTTCTGCTGACAGGGGATTGAAAAATCAATTCTCTGAGAGACAGGACAAACAGTTAACACTGTATTCAACTGCAAAGCCAGGTCACTGCACAAAGGTGAACTTACCAACTGCATGCAATGTGGGCTTACGCAAAGGAAAAATGATAATTAACAAGTTAGAATACAGGTGCGAGAAGGTGAGCAATCAAATACAAATCTCAGATTTAAGAACTGTTGACTGATACAGACTGACAATTTTCTTTTTTTCTCCCCCCTAAACCTTTTGAGACTATTTAAGTTAATTTAACTAAGCAAGTTACAGTTGCGATGGCTTACTGATAAAGAGAATCCTCTAAAGGAGACAATTCATATTTATAAAATGAGAAGAATAACTTCTACTTTCTATTAGGTTCTATGAAACACACAACGAAATCCCCTTTGATGCCAACAGTAAGTTTACACAGGTCACACGGAGATTATAGCCTCTCTGAAATCAGTAACTTTTCCTTAGCTTTCATATTAAGGTTATTTGCTATATTCAGCAAACCACTGAAAGAAAAACATACTTGACTAAGATCAGTATTATTTCTTTTCTTCACTCACCTTCTTCTTCTTTCCCTAACCTTATATAGTTTTCTTCCTCAATAGATCTCAAAGTGCTCTCCAAAAAAGGGAAAAGAAATGAAAAACACAATTCAAGTGCTAGATGTTTTTGTTCAGCGGGGGAAAGCGAGCCAGTGAAAGGTCTGAAAGCGATACAGGTAAGAAAGCTTGCAATAATATCTTTATCTGAATGATCCACAGAACTTCCACAACTCTCTACCAGTTAAAACTCTTAAGAAATTCTCAAGTGTCTTTACCTTAAATTGCTCCCAAAAGGATGGGAAAAGGAAAACAATGAAAAAGAGAGGGACTACAATTTCAACATTGTCTCTTAAAAACAAAACAAAACAACCTACAAATTCCAAGTCTTTCCCCTTGTAACCTCTTAGTTTTCCTAAGAGGGAAAATGACTGGGAACACTCAGAGCACAGACAAGAGCCATTTGTTGTGCACCTCTGCTATGGAAAGAACAGAATATTAGCAATTGCTATGTATTATACTGGTAAATAACTTAAAAAAGCAAATCCTGAGAAGTTCTCTCCCAGCCCCTCCCCTGCCGCCCGCCTTTTTTTTGAAGATGTGTTTGGAAAAAGTATTAATTCCAGTCTATACTGTCTCTTAATGACTTGTGTGTCCTGGAGAGAGGAAGCCTTGAACAGTAGCCGCAAGCCGCGTGGAAACAACATTACAAACTGTGCTGGAAAGGGAACTCTCTCTGTGCCCAACAAGCTAACTGCAAAATGCAACAGATTCGGGAAGTGCAGAATGATCGAACAGCCAAAATACACTCCTAACATTTGGCTACTGCTTTAGGGAAGCATCACCTTTAACTGTTTTTTTCACCAATCCCCTATGGTTTCTCCCCTAGACCCATAAGTCATTTAGTTTAGTCAGTACTGACTTATGAAGTCAGTTAATCATGCAGCATACTACATAAATGCAGCCACAGGCCTTCTCTACAACACAAAACGTTAAAGGAAAAGAGGCAAACCAAACTGTGCAGGAGTGCCTCACAACCCAGTGGCTGAACATCTAAACAAACCCATCTAGCGGCTGGAAAATCCCAAGAATTGCTGTTACAGTCTTACAACTTCACAAACCTGTTTGTAGAAGCTGTGTAACTAGGCCTAAGGATTGATTTACCAGGAAAAGAAAAGTAACCAGGCAGAGCTTTCACAGGCCTTTACCATTAAAAAAAGTCAATTTTACTAAGGTCTACTGTCTACCTTGCCATTCAAGCATACAAGTCACAAAGGAAGACAAGCAAGAAGGTCCAAGATCAGGAGGACCCACAGACGTGATGCCCCACAGCACGTCCCTGAAGAGATTCCCTAGTGACTGTAGTTCCTATGTACAGCCTTTGCCTCAAGGGGAGCATTAATTTGTGCCTCTCCACTCTGTTCAGCCACCCCTTTCCATGAAACAAAGGAATTAAATGCCTTTGAAACCTCTATTGTTGTTAACAAACTCAGCTGAGACAGGTCAAGTGTAACAGCTGTTACTGAGAGCAGAACTGGCGGAGCAACACACAACTTCAAGAACCTGGTGTTTTCTGTGCGTGTGTTCATACAGAAACGATAAAAAAATCCTAAAGAATGACGGGAAGTGTAAGTTACAAAAACATGATGACAAAGCCATTTTGACGGGTGAACGACAGATGAAGTAATAGACTGAAGGAAGAGGCAAAGAGAAAGGTGAGAAACTGAAGCTGGGTAAAGACAAATTAATAATTCAGATTTTAAAGTTTTCTTTAATTAATTTAAATTGCATTTCTAGATTTGAGTTTTTTATTTACTATTTCCCTTGATTTGAGAATAATCTGACATTTTCTGTTTTCAAACATATGCCAACTTCCTGTAGTTAAAAAATGAGTAAGAGCAGCTCTGTCATACAACAGTAACCATACCTACCACCCATTACAGTTACATGATGACGATTAAGAATTTTATTTAAAACACACTTCAGTTACATCTCTTTGCAATCACAAAAGCGCTGACTTCTTCCTTAGCACGGCAAGAACATAGAGAATGATATGAAACTCTCACAGCATCCAGAGAGGTGCACTCAGAAACTGGAGAAGAACGTCTCCATCATGAGGAGCCAAGCAAAACCGTGTCCAAAGACAGCCACACAAGCAAGCAAGCAAGCAAGAAGAGCTCAAGACTGGGGCAGAACAGCATCACAACACTCCTCATTTTCTTCATTTCATACCAAGGTAAAATTTAGCCTTAGGCTGAACTTTGAATTTGCTATGGACAGGATTTTTGGTTGCCCCTTTCTTTAAGATGAATTAAAAGGTGAAAGACTGCGTGGATGCTATTTGAAACTGTAGGCATAAGCTGCACTGTTCCTCTAAGTGGGTGCAACCTTTTGTGAAAGATAAAAATCACTGCCCACATGTACCCAAGGCTGGGTTGACACATGTCAGATAAGACCTTAAATGAAGCATACCTGCTTCTCTCTCTCTGGGCTTACGTGAAAGCCTTCAAATCATACAACAATAGCTATTTTTTTCTGGCTTAGACCAATCAGGGAATAAAATACTTTTCAAGCCAGATGAAGGCTAGTTCTTCACCAACAGAAGCTACCAAAGAAGTGCTTTTTAACACTGCATCATGAAGACGAACATTCTGGAGTTCACTTTCAGTTCCTATTCACTTCCAGTCACTAAGTAGGGCCAACAAATTTCATTGCACTTCGATGCTGATAAACTCAAACATCAGCACTGGTATGACAATGTTTTTCTTACTACTTGCTATCTAAAAAAACATGGGAGAAAACAGTATTTTTTACTACTTAATTGTTAAGCATAAATAGTCTATTTCCACACTGATACGCTGCTGTAATAGTTAGAGAATGCGCTTTATATACCACCTGAAATATTTATAGAAAATTAATGAAATAAAGGACAATTAATAACTAGACTACTGGCAAAGTGTAGAAGACTCAAAAGTCAAGTGGCAGTAAAATAATAATTTACAAAAATATACTTTGAAGTTGATAATTATTATACATTTCTAATTTACAAAGAAACACCACTACTACCCTGTGATAATTGAGCTCATTTAAGCAGCTTTCCACAACAACATTCTAAAATGAATTTCAACTAGCAGTCTTTATTTAACATGCACTGAAAGACACAAGGTGCAACCACACCAAGAAAATATATTCACTTGGTGGCTACAGGAATACTAGTATCAACATCAGACTAGAACTTAACAGCAAGAATAATTCAGATTTGAATTACAACTAAACACTGACTTAAGTTTGATGATGCATTGGTAATTCTCATATAAAGCTGTGTCAGCAAGAAAATAACAGTTAAATTAAAAAAATTACAATTAGCTTTATCAGTGAAATCTTACACTGCCAACACAGCAAATAACTCATTCTAATAATTTTTCAACTCATAATAATAATAACTTTAAAATACACATAAAATAGTAGTAGTGTTTCGTATTATACATGTGGGAGATCAATAACGAAACCCAATAATATAAAAATTGCAATTCAATACAAAGAGTACTTAATGACCTACTTTTATAGGTCATATACTTATACTTACATATTCAGGTTTTAATTTCTTGTCTCCTCCTCTTACAGCTACTTTTTCAAGCTTGTCTATACTCTGCATGATAAGCTCCTCATCTTTAAGTCTAAGTTCCTCATGTATTATTTCAATGTCACGAACAGGATCTACACTTCCTTCAACATGAGTGATATCATCATCTTCAAAAGCTCCTAAAACAAAAGAACACTTAAATTACATATTAAGCTAAAAAGACAAGAAATATGTATTTACAACACACTATTAAGAGTCACAAGAGTTTGAGATTAAAAAGTCAAGTCAGTAAGTCTGTCATACTGCCTGTATACAAGTGTCACCTGCAATATTTTATATCATACTGTTTTAGTCTGTTAATTTACGTATCAACTCCAGAATCCAAAGCTTTATACAGATACATACAAAGCATAGTGCTCTGCCATTTCAGGAGAGCACTTAACACATCCTTAAGAGATTCTTCTAAATAGGAACAGGCTAGAGCACTTTCCCAAAAATAGGTACCACTGTATTTAACAGCATCTAACCTAGCAGCAGCAAACACAGTAGCTAAATTGAACATTGCAGAACGTTTTAATACACACAGTAATGACTAAAAGACTCAGGGAAAGAAAACCTTACAAATCACCCTGGCAGCCCTCACTGGCTGACCAATTTTATGCATTAAGAAAAAAAAGAAGTTCCAGACAAAGAATTCTGAAGTTCTGAACGACTCTTAGTGTTTCCAAGGGAAACAGGGCTTAGAAAAAAAGGCCTGAAATCATCTGGCAGACCTCGTCCCTGTTTCAATCTACTTTATCACTGTGGTTCTGACGGTGATTAGATAATGAACCACTCAGACACACAATTTACACAGCAGCTAATTTCATCGGCCTGATTTGAGGGTATGGTTTTTAGGGGGCCATCAAAGAAGCAGATGAAGGTGCATTTGTCATATATGAGTGACAACCATTCACACTATCTGAACAAAATGGTGCTGGCCCTTATTAGAAACACATGCTATTATCACATATTTAAAGTGCAGTTGAAGCCATAATTTCAAATTGCCAACTGGAAACATAAGGGTAAAACAACCAGATATTACTGAAGCATGTGTGCTGACTTCATGCCCTTCTGAAGACAATCTGGCAACATAATTCAACTGGGATTTAAATTATCAGATAAGCAGCATCACTAAAAAAAAAACCCCGCTCCCCCAAAAATCAATACATATTTTAAAAATAAAAGTATTAACAAATAAAAACAGCTTATTACTTATTCCTGGATCAATTTTCAGAGTATTTGCATGCCTATCCTGTAACTCTAAAGATACACCCTGAGAAATCGGCCATGAAGAAATTATTTTTTACACAGGGGAAAAAACCCCAAGGCATTTCTTGTACTAGATATGAGATAGGAAACCAGATAAACTACAAATAATTCCTTAACTGATATACAGAAAGTTGGGGTTCTTTGTTGTCATGCTCTCTTAAACATCATCTTTTCTTTAACTTACTGAAAACAGTGGTTTTAGCAATCAAGATTTTACATCAAAACACATGGTACACAGGTTTAAAATGTTGTTGACAGTCAAATGTCAAAATCATTTTCACATAAACTTATGAAAAGTTTTTAGAACAGTGATTACCAGAAGTTCCCTCCTCTCCCATCAGCCGTCCCCCTCCAAAGATCATCAGTGAGCCCCCTTGGTACAAGGAAAATCACCTCAGCAATAGATCCAGCTCTGATGCTGGCCCTGACGAGAGAACAGGCTGCTCTGTCAAATGGAAACCCACTACACTAACCCATACCAATGCCAGACAATTAAGGAAGAGATATGTAGCCTTTGCCTTCCATAAATCCATAATTGTGCACCGGACTCAATGGGACATGGGCTGTTTGGATGAACAAATACTAGAAAACATAATTTAACAGCTCTGTTCTAATTTACAAGGAAAATACTGAATAAAAGGAGAGGGGGGCAGAAAGTAGGAAGATATCATCATACAGATCAAAGAAAAGTCCACCTGCCCAGCCTTCTCAACAGATGAGTAGTGTAAAGCAGCTAAAAGTAAGAAGTTTATCTTTCTTCCTTGTGTCAAGAAAAGCGTCTGTTATCGTCTAAATAATACATTCTCAAGTTGTTTACATCTTCCTTCTGCATTTGGTGTCCATGGGTTTAAAATACAACAAAAAACCCCCACACTGTTAAAGCCAGGAGAAAAGATCTTGCATTTACAACATAAAAATAAAAAGTAAAGTAAACAGCTTGTTTTGGTCTTAAGGAAGAATGAAGTTTTTCTGAAAAAGTAAGTGTAAGCTGAATTAGTCAGTAATAACAAAACACAAGCTTATCTATTAGTTATATTTTTCCATTTTATTCAACAACAGTAAAATACTTCTCCAGAAGTTACCTTAATTTCCTCACATCTTCCCATTCCTTTTCACACACACACAAAAAAAATTCAGTTCTTTATTCACCCAAAACCAATTCATTCAGTGTAATTCCACCCCTACAGAACTGAATCTATACATTCCACCTTCGCTCTCTTCTCAGTCCACTAAACGCTTTAAACCATGGACACTTCAACGTTCTGCCGGAGTTTTCTTCAAGTCTCCTCCTCCCGTCAGCTGTCCTCATGCCTGTGTAAGCAGCGATCCTGCAGCTCATTCAGGCAACATCGATGACAAGAGACCCGTGTCTGGCAACAGGCAGTTGCTTGGTCAGGTAAGGAGCCCCTCTACTGAGCTGATGATTTCCCATTCAAGGCAACAATTTAGCCTTCTCTTCCACTCACTGGGTTGCTTGACTCCTCTCATGGAAGAAACGAACACTAGTTGCATATTCCATTAAAATGTTGGATTTTGAGCTTATATTTTCAATTCTACATTTAGAGGAAAAGTGCATTTTCCTAACTTGGAAAGGAGAAAACCTATCAACAGGTGTGCTGACAAAGGTCACACAATTCCCTGATAAATAGATAGGAAATCCATTAAAATAATCATGGCAGTTTTTTTTTTTTTTCTTATCAGGAACACTTAGAGGAGAGAAATTTAAATCTCTTCCTATTGAGACAGCCACAGTCCATAAGGAAGTGGTAGGTATAAGATTTTGTACACACAAAAGGCCAAACTGGCATTAATGTCCAGATTTTGGCATAAACTGAGAGACTCTTCTTGATAAGCAACAGGCATTGAGCTTTATTTGTGAACCTCTTGTTCAGAGTTTATCAACGCCAACTTCAGTCGTCAACCTACAACAAATCAGCCTCTGACTGCAGCCTAGTCAGAAGCGAGATGATGGGATACTCAAGGAATAAGGAAAGGAAAAGGGAGAGAGACACTGCTATGATGAAAGAGCCTTAGTTATGACTTTGTCTCAATATCCGTGTCAGATGTATCGTGGGCAATACATTATGCAAGCCTCAAGCCTGCTTTGTGATGATGGTCTAGCACAAATCACATTGAGCATTGTAGGGAAGTCAATTCTGGTCTGCAGAGCTGAGTGCAGACTTAGCAAGCAAGAACTGGTGGTAACCTTAGGAATGAGGCTCTGTGCGAGAGATGAGATCTCTTGGAAAAAGTACAACTGTGAGGAATTAACAAAGTTAAACTATTAGGATAACATTTTACCCAGTCCCTGGTTTAAAAACCAGTCTATATAAAAATTTAAAGCAGTAGGAAAAAATTGAGTTGTAAAACTGATTCAAGAAATAGGACATAACCAGAAAATGTGTTGCAACTTACAAAGGTGAAACTAAGAACTACAATATTAATCTCCAAATCTTACCTGACATAGATTATTAACAGTATATTGCTATTTATTAATGTGCCTCTGTGCCTTTGCTATATTAGTGAGTGAAATTCCTCTGTCAAGCCAGACCTTTAACTGTATTTTATTAGGGAAGATGATATGATAACCCCTCCTTCCCTCCAGCATACACAGCAGCAAACCAGAAAGCTCAAAGGCTCTATTTTAAAACATAACGAACAGGGGACTAAGAATGACATCACTGTCCAATTAAAGATGGTGCAACACCTGTACGATGAACAAGATGCACAAGGTGGACACAGGCCATGAACCTTGAGTAAGCAGTAGTATAAGTAGTTGATATCGAGCGCTACGTAGAAAAGCAGCCTGTTGAAAATAAAAAGGACCCACTAAATTATGCTGAAATGGAAGAAGCAGGGAGGATGGGAGGTAGGTCTTGAGATGCAAGACGACAGCAAACAGATGAGAATTTCAGTTTTCTGAAGGATCAGGAAAGGCTATCTTGAGTAACACACAGAAAAAGAATATCAGCTTATGGACATGTAGCTCTCTGAAGAAGGCAAATGAAAAATAAACATTGCCAAAGAATGCTGATATTGGTTTGGCTGATACTGATCACAACAGAATCAGTGAGTAAAAATAATGGGGAAAGGGAGTTCTGGTAGTCTTATTTTGATCTCAAGCTGATTACTAGCTCGAGAGAGCTTGGTAGAAAAGAGCTTGGGAGGAAAGGTTCCCTGAAATGGTACTAACAGGGCAGCCAGGCGAGGAAGAAAAGGACTAGAATGGGATAGTTGCAGAAGAACAGTGAGAGCAAACATGGTCACCTGTCAGACGTAAAACGCATTCTGATTATGAGCTGTGTTTAAACACGGTGAACCTCAAACACAGTGTGTCTGTCGTCTTATTGACATAATGAGGGTTCAACTTCTGTAAATACAAGGGACCTTTTCAAGGTTAGAAACTTGTCTACACACTGTCCTCGGCAGCATACTCACACCTGCCAGGCTACTGGCTGCTGAGCTCCATGGTCTAGCTTCCAAAGTCCTCATTAAAAAAAAATTAATTTTTTCAAACTCATTTTACTACAGGAAACTATAGTGTACTACTATAAGAGAAAAAAGAAATCAGTTTACCATACAGGGAGGAAAAAATATATACAGAAAATGGACTTACTCAAGCATCTCCCCAAAGAAGCATCTGTTTGTCAACAACTAAGCTAAGCATACAGTAATAGAGGAAGGTCAACTGGGAAACCCCAATCAGTAATTTCATTATTTAAAAAACTGATTACGACTTCTGTGGTGTCTCCTGTATCCCACCAGAGGTGAAGTATATTTTAATCAGAAGTTAGTCAAAAGGAAGTTGAACGGAATCCACCTCTTTTCTATTTTAGGTATCCTAGCTGTAAGTCTTTTTTGCAAATAA